AAGTCATTGCGCATGCGTTCGAATGAGAATCCCTCCATCTTCTTTACATCTATGAGAGAGACGCTTGGTGTGCTTCAGATGCTGGAAGTTAAGAAAGATGACAGAGAGGTATGCAACCTGATGCTCGAGGGATTGTCACATGAGTATGGGACCCTGCGTGAAACTCTGGTGGTGTTCTGTCCGAATGACCCGTCGTTCATAGAGACTAAAGTGCGTGAGAGGTATCTCGACTTGCTGACTCAACCTGGTCCGAAGAAACACAGTGTTGCACTCATGTCTAGACCTGTGAGGAAGAGTGCGAAGAAGCAGAACCAGAAGTCAAAGTCTAACTCCGAGTCTGATTCGTCTAAGAAAAAGATTTTTCAGGGGAAGTGTTTCAAGTGTGGGGAGAAGGGTCACTTGAAGATGGACTGCCTGGCTCGTGTGATAGCTCATCCCTCTCAGACCGGACCATCCGAGGACGACAAGGATGAGAACGGTGAGAAGTCTGACTTGGTGTTGTTGTTATCTCAAGCCAACTCAAGCGAATGGAGTGGTGGCAAGTACATTGCAGCAATGTATGCCAAAATCATGCAGAAGTGGCAGGAGTCCCGTGGTAGCAGTAGAAATGATGCTGTTTTGGAACACCATGATACCATGTATCTTGAAGCGTTGTATACCGAAGCAGAGGATGAGTTGAAGAAGTACGTCGGCAGTGACGGTGTTGTCCGTGATTCTATTCGCGAACACTCCACTCTTACGAAGAAGGATAGATGCATCGAAGATTGGTATGCGGACACGGGTACAGCTTTCCACATGACAGACTCTCTCTCTTGCATGAAGGATGTGAAACCTTGCCACAAGAAAGTAAAAGGAATTGGTGGCGTAACTTGTGAGGTAGCACTATCAGGAACTCTTGAAGTGGCGTTTGTGTCTGCTGACAGCGAGTTTTCTGCAGAGTTGAAGAATGTGCTATATGCCCCCAAGTTAGGGTACAACCTTTTCTCTCCCAGCGCAGAGTTTGATGGCGAGTCATGGAATGGCCTTGGTGGTCCTGACGGTGTGATGACTGCTTTCCACGGGCATGTTACTTTTCAGAATTTCGATGGCATACTTGTTGCTACTGCGTATCGTCTCGGACATAACTCGATTGGATCGGTGTTGACTGCCCTCACCCCTTCAAACCCCAAGCGCGTAAAAATCATGGATGTGAACGATTTTCATAACATTTATGGTCATGCGCATGAAGGGCTGCTTAGGACCACTGCAAAGCGACTAGGTATCGAGTTGACCGGTAAAATGCATGCTTGTTCGGGATGTTCGATGGGAAAAGCAATTCGTAAGGCGATTGCTCATGTGNTATGGTCATGCGCATGAAGGGCTGCTTAGGACCACTGCAAAGCGACTAGGTATCGAGTTGACCGGAAAAATGCATGCTTATTCGGGATGTTCGATGGGAAAAGGAATTCGTAAGGCGATTGCTCATGTGACTACAAATGGATCAGACAAAAAGTTAGGCAGAGTTTTTGTTGACCTGGGAGGGAAGAAGGGCGTTGCGTCCATAGGGGGCAAACATTACCCCATGATTTTGAAGGATGATTTCACAAGGCGTGCAAGGATGTATTTCCTAAGAAGTAAATCAGACGCTGGCAGTGTTTTCCGAAGTTTTCTTGCGAATGTGCGTGCTGATGGGATCCCATCATTGATTGAGATTGTTAGATCTGACAATGGAGGGAAATTTTTCGGTGGAGAATTTGCATCTGTGTGCAATGAGCTCTTGATTAAACAAGAGTTCACCCCGGCTCACAGTCCCGAATTCAATGGTGTTGCGGAACGTGGTTTGGGATTGATAAAAGAGGCCGCAATGGCGGCTCGTATTCAGGCGAATGTTCTGTTTGGGCATGTGCAGCTACCTAAGACTGATAGACTCTGGGCGGAGGCCATGNAAATTTTTCGGTGGAGAATTTGCGTCTGTGTGCAATGAGCTCTTGATTAAACAAGAGTTCACCCCGGCTCACAGTC